GCATGTATAGAGGCATGGAAGGCAGAGGGTATATCTTAACCAGCTCTGTTTCCCTAATTTATCTAGGATAGTGCAGGGCACATGGTGATCACCTCGGAATATTTTTTTTTTTTTTTTTTTTTTTTTTTTTTTTTTTTGAGACAGAGTTTCGCCCTTGTTACCCAGGCTGGTGTGCAATGGCGCGATCTCGGCTCACCGCAACCTCCGCCTCCTGGGTTCAGGCAATTCTCTTGCCTCAGCCTCCTGAGTAGCTGGGATTACAGGCACACACCACCATGCCCAGCTAATTTTTTGTATTTTTAGTAGAGACAGGGTTTCACCATGTTGACCAGGATGGTCTCGATCTCTTGACCTCGTGATCCACCCGCCTCGGCCTCCCAAAGTGCTGGGATTACAGGCTTGAGCCACCGCGCCCGGCCTGGAATATTTGTTGAATGAATGAATGAATGGCTGCTTTTGTGAATAGAGGCTTCTACCCTTCCTTCTTCCCTTCCTTCCTTCCTCCCTTCCTCCCTCCCTCTCTCTTTTTCTTTCTCTTTCTTTCTTTCTCTCTTTCTTTCTCTCTCTCTCTCTCCTCTCTCTCTCTCTCTCTCTTTCTTTGAGGTGGAGTTTCACTCTTGTTGTCCAGGCTAGAATGCAATGGCACGATCTTGGCTCACTGCAACCTCCACTTCCTGAGTTCAAGCAATTCTCCTGCCTCAGCCTCCTGAGTAGCTGGGATTACAGGCATGTGCCACCACACTTGACTAATTTTGTATTTTTAGTCGATATGGGGTTTCTCCATGTTGGTCAGACTGGTCTTGAACTCCTGACCTCAGGTGATCCGCCCACCTTGGCCTCCCAAAGTGCTGGGATTACAGGTGTGAGCACCATGCCTGGCCAACTATTCAAAGGAGTATTTATGCAACTCCAGTAAAATTTTTAAAATCTAAATTTACTGGAGTTGCATAAATTTAAATTAAAAAAAATCTAAACACAAATACAATTTACCATTTATTCAGATCAATTCTCACAGATATAATACCGAAGTAGTTCTCTATGAGATCTTTATTCAAAAATGTATGGACAGGAAGGGGGAATTCAGTATACACCAACAAAGTGACTGCCTGGCTCACAGTAATTTCTTTTCCTGTAAAATGTCTCTTTATATAGCGTAGACCCCCAGCAGCCACATCTCTGCCTTTTTACCCTGCCATCTCCCTCCTCCCCTATCCTGCCCTGCCTACATAGCTGACTGATACAGGGGTAAACCTATGACCTGAAACTTGCCAAATCAGAGTCCTAAGAGAAATTAAGTGGTATTATGGGAGGCTCAGCCATGACATCAGCCAGGAAAGGAAACAGTTTTCTATGAGACAGAACAAAGCTGACTCATTCAGAATCAAGACAGAGAGACAGAGTCCTAGTAGTGTTCCAGTCCCTGGAATCTACTGTCCCCATGGCTCAGCTGCACCCTGTCCTTCCAGTGGTTATGTAAATAACCTTAGCATCCTTCTAATAAATTCCTCCTTTCTGCCCTTGCTGGTTTGAGTTGAATCTCTGTGACCCGTAGTCGGAAGACCCAACTAACAAAGGGAATGAAGACACGAACTGGGATGCCAACTTACCCAGCTTCTCTGTGGCTTCCACACAGACACTAGGATACATGCTCTCAGTGTAAGTTGCCACCAGAAGATACAGATGAGTCTTCACGACAACCACACCAGTGTTCTCCTGGATAAAGAATAAAAGAGAATATGCTGCTGTTGGTTCTAATCACAGGACCAGCGGTCATGTTTCAGCTAATGTTTTTCACCATTTCCTGATTTCCATATATTTATATACCTGTTTTTGGACTGTCCACTCTTTTCCATCAATTTAGTTGCCTTTCCTCAACAAGTTTTAGACTGTTATCATAATGGTGGATGGATTTTGAAAAAGTTCCGCAACTGATCATCATATACTCCAATCCCAATGAGAACAACTGATGTAGACCAGGCGCGGTGGCTCATGCCTTTAATCAATCCCAGCACTTTGGGAGGCTGAGGTGGGCAGATCGCCTGAGGTCGGGAGTTTGAGACCAGCCTGGCAAACATGGTGAAATGCTGTATCTACTAAAAATACAAAAATTAGCCAGGCGTGGTGGCAGATGCCTGGAATCCCAGCTTCTCGGGAAGCTAAGGCAGAAGAATCGCTTGAACCCAGGAGGTAGAGGTTGAAGTGAACCGAGATTGCACCATTACACTCTAGCCTGGGCAACAAGAGTGAAACTCCATCTCAAAAAACAAAAAAAAAAAAAAAAAAAGAACAACTGATATAATGGAAAGGTAGTACATTTTGGAATTGGACAGCTCTGGGCTTGAATTCTAGTGCCTCCCTTTTCTGTTGCATGAATAAGGGTTATTTAACCATGTTAAGCCTCAGTTTCCTCATCTGTAAAATGAGGTTATTTAGTTTATAATGTGGATGAAGCATATCTAACTCATAATATAGGACATTCAATGAATGATTTTCCTCTCCTTCATTCCTTATAAGCAACAGAGAGCTGAGAGTTTGTTGTTGTTGTTGTTTTTTGGAGATAGAGTTTCACTCTTGTTGCCCAAGCTGGAATACAATAGCACGATCTCGGCTCACTGCAACCTCTGCCTCCCAGGTTCAAACAATTCTCCTGCCTCAGCCTCTGGAGTAGCTGGGATTACAGGTGCATGCCACCACACCCGGCTAATTTTTTGTATTTTTAGTAGAAACAGGGTTTCACCATGTTAGCCAGGCTGGTCTTGAACTCCTGTCCTCAGGTGATATGCCCACCTTGGCCTCCCAAGTCCTGGGATTATAGGCGTGAGCCACCATGCCCGGCCACTGAGAGATATTTTAAGTGTGGAAGTTATATATCTCTATCTCTATCTATCTATCTATACTTTTTTTTAAAGGAGGATGTAGAGTATGAAGGCTGGACTATAGTGGAAAGAGTTCAGGCCAGGCTCAGTTAATAGATTCTGCAATGAACATTTCTCAAAACCAGGCTCTCTGATAGGACTTTCTTTCACATATGTCTTCCTGGCACTAGACTGCTATCTCAGACAGCGCCTCAAGACATTAATGGGTTTAATCTGTTTTAAAGAGAGGATCAGGCAGGGCAAAGAAAATTGGAGGCAAATTCTTTTCTTCTACTCAGCTGTCTTCAAATCTTGAGCACTCACATTTTTGGCATAAAGAGAATAGTCATCTGCCCGGACACATTTATAATCCTTTTCCTTGAAATACAATCCTTCTCTTCGGGCTTGCAAAGGGTTCTTGGCAAATCCATTCACCAGTGTTCGGACATCGCTGGGCATTACCTGGGGAGGATACATGGTTAGAACAGGAGTCAGCCAACTATGGCTGGTGGCCAGCCAAATTTAGCCCACTGCCTGTTTTTTATGGCCTGTAAGCTAAGAATGGTTTTCACATTTTTAAATGGTTGGGGGGAAAAAAATCAAAAGAAGCATAACACTTTGTGACACTTACAAATTATATGAAATTCAAACTTCAGTATCCATAAATATAAAATTTTATTGGAACACAGTCACATTCATTCTTTTATGTATGGCTGTTTCTCCTTTACAACTGCAGACCTGAGTGGTTGTGACAGACTCTATGGCCCTGTGCTATAGTTTGAATCTCATGTTGAAATCTGATCCCAACGTTTACCTAATGGAAGGTGTTTGGCTCATGGGGGCAGATCCCTCATGAATAGATTAATGCCCTCCCTGTGAGGTGGGAGAAGCTGTGAGTTTTCATTGTATTCGTTCCAGGAGAGCTGGCTGTTTAAAAAGAGGCTGGCACCTCTCCACTTGCTCTCTCTTGCTTCTTCTCTCCCCGTTTGATCTCTGCATATGCTGGCTCCTCTTCACCTCTGCTATGAGTGGAAGCAGCCTAAGGTTTTCACAAATGACCAGTCTTCCAGCCAGTAGAACCATGAGCCAAATAAACCTCTTTTCTTTATAAATTACCCAGCTTCAGGTATTCCTTTAGCAATACTAAATTCCTTTTAGCAATACTAAACTGACTAAGATGCTTAGAAATCTAACATATTTATGTGGCTCTTTACAGAAAAAGTTCTTTTTTTTGTTTTGACCGAGTCTCACTCTGTCATCCAGGCTGGAATGCAGTGGTGTGATCTCAGCTCACTGCAACCTCCACCACTTGGGTTCAAGCGAATCTCCTGCCTCAGCCTCCCGAGTAGCTGAGACTACAGATGCGTGCCACCATGCTTGGCTAATTTTTGTATTTTTAGTAGACATGGGGTTTCACCATGTTGGCCAGGCTGGTCTCAAACTCCTGACCTCAAGTGATCCACTTTCCTCAGCCTCCCAGTGTTGGGATTACAGGCGTGAGCCACCACGCCTGGCCAGAAAAAGTTCATTTAACATTCATGTCTGGGGCTGGTGGCTCATGCCTGTAATCCCAGCACTTTGGGAGGCTAAGGTGGGTGGATCACCTGAGGTCAGGAGCTTGAGACCAGTCTAACCAACATGGAGAATCCTGTCTTTACTAAAAATACAAAATTAGCCAGGCATGGTGGTGCATGCCTGTAATCACAGCTACTCAGGAGGCTGAGGCAGGAGAATCGCTTGAACCCAGGAGGCAGAGGTTGGGGTGAGTCAAGATTGTGCCATTGCACTCCAGCCTGGGCAACAAGAGCAAAACTCCGTCTCATAGAAAAAAAAAAGTCATGTCTGGGCCAGGCACGGTGGCTCATGCCTGTAATCTCAGTGCTTTGGGAGGCAGAGGCGGGTGGATCACCTGAGGTCAGGAGTTCAAGACTAGCCTGACCAACATGGTGAAACACCATATCTACTAAAAATACAAAAATTAGCCAGGCCTGGTGGTATATGCCTGTAATCCCAGCTACTCGGGATGCTGAGGCATGAGAATCGGTTGAACCCGAGGCGGAGGTTGCAGTGAGCTGAGATCGTGCCATTGCATTGCACTCCAGACTACGCAACTAGTGAAACGCCGTCTCAAAAAAAAAAAAAAAAAAAAAAAAAAAGTCATGTCTTCTTCATGTTTTGGAAGAACACAAATAGTAAATCAGAAGTCTTATGTCCAAACTTTTTTCTTACATTAAAACCTGGTGATGCCACAAACAGGCTCTGCTCCTGGATTTTGATGAGGGCTGCACTATCCACATGCTTGGTTCCCAAGAGGGTGTCTAACAATAAGCTTTGCAAATGGCTCATGTTCCCTCAACTCTGAAAGGGAAACTGCATTTGAAGCTACTGACTCTGGCTAGCTTTTAAAAGGCATGTGAATACAAATGTCCCTAAGACACTTCGGACAGTTTTAAGGTCAGTTAGTGTACTTTGAAAAGATACAGAGTGAAAACGGTGGTTCATCATTCAGGGCCCACCAATATCCAAAGAGGAAAACAGAATCATAGAAAAATTGCAGCTCACAGAGTAGGTTATGAAGCTGAGTTTGGAAAACCATAGCCTCATGATTTTCTGGCCATGTCAGTTTTACCTCAGGATCATTCGGGATTTAAAAACAAACATTGCACACTGAGAAAAACCCTGTAAAATAAAATATAAAAGAAACAAAAAACAAAACCCAGCGAGGATGGAGAGCTACCCTGCTAAGTAAACAGGACTAGAAGAGACATGCGTGGCCACGAACCCACACATTCCCTTCCCGGTGACCTGCATCAGCGCCAACTATGAACGCTGATCAACATCCCAATGGACACCTTGAAGGCACTTAAACCCACATTTCTCGCACCAGTCCCCAAGCCTTGGACCCCCTTATTAGGACCTCCGGCAGAGGATCCCCTTTCCCGCCACTGCCTTTCCGTGGTTTGGGCCCCGGAGCAGGACCGAAGGCGGGGCAGGGGATGGTGAGCTGTGAATTCCCCGACACCGAGGACTCGAGGGAACGGACGCCACCCCTCTCTCTGGTGTTCCGCAAGGGGCCAGCGACCGAGGACCCGCCTGTCAACGGACGCGGTTGGGGGGATGGGTGGCGGCGGCGGGATTGGCCAGGCCGCGCGCGGGTCACGGAGAAGCAGGGAGTTCAGCCCCTTCCGCAAACCAAGACCCGCCAGCTGGAGCCGCCGCCCAATCCCTTTTGGTTTGAAGTCTTCCCCCGCCGCCCCGGTGCCGCCGGCTCGCCCTGGCTGTGGAACCCGCGGCGGAAAGGGCGGAGGGGCCGCGCGGCGCTGCGTCCGGGAGACAGTGGGCGCCAACATTCGCGCGTTCCGCAGAGGCGGGCGGCCTCTTTTCCTGCCTCAGCCGGACGACTCCGGGGCCGCCGGGCCGGGCCCGGGTGTGGCGCAGGACGGCCGCGGGCCTGCCGGCCTTGGGAGGGCAGAGAGGTGCCTGTCGCGGCCTGTGACCTCCCCGCTAGGCCGGGCGGTCCCCGCGTAAGACGTGCCCGCGCGGGAGGCCCCGGCCAGGGGCCGGCGTGGAGGCCGCAGGCGCCCGACCCACCGTACTGGTGGGAGGAAGGGCCGGGAGTGGGTGCGGTGGGCAAGAGCGGGTGCGGACCCCGACGACCTCCCCGTCGCGCCCCGGCCTCGGGGAGGACTTCGGGCCTCGCAGAGCCCGAAGACTCGCAGATTTTCACCGAAAACCCCTCCCTTGCTTCTCCAAGCAGCTCAGCCTGTGTTCTGTACCCAGAAAATTGCAGCTCTCCCCACTCAAGGCCACCAAAGTCAGAAAAGTCCTGCAAAGGGGCTCCCAGAGGCCAGGCTGAAGCTGCCACACTGGCTGGAATGGGCTGCCTTGGAGAGGGACCTGGGAATTCATTCCAAGGAGCAGGGAGATTCTGAGAGCATCTCGCCAGCTTACAAAGGAGGCAGGTTCTGAAGCCGTCATCTAGAGCCTGCGGTGAAGCCCTCTTGTTAGGGAAATTGGATGGTTTGTGTTCAAAATCCATTTCGCGTGTGTGCAAAGACACAGGTGTTATTAAATAGAAGGGAAAATTCAATGACTGAAATTTGCAATACTAAGTTTTTCTAGGGGCCCTGTGACCACAATGAAAAAAGTAGACAGTGATGATCTGGTAACCGGCACACTTCCCAAGCTCAAGAGCTCAAAAGAATGGTTGGAGCCCAAGCCCCTTTGTTTTATGGAGGTATAACAAATAGTGTGGGATTTGGAGATTTGTTTTACCTCAGTCGTTGCAGTGGGAAGTGGCTTATGCTAAACATGTTGTTTTTTTCTATTTTTTGTTTTTATTTTATTCTGTTTATTCCCTTCACTTTACTAACTTTGTATATTCACTTTGCTGTTTCTTTTTCTAACATCTTAAGGTGGAATCATAGATCATTGAGTATATACCTTTTTAAATGTAACATAGCTGTAAGTTTCTCTTGAAGTACTGCCTTAGCTGTATCACCCAAATTTTGATATGATGTATATATTTATTTATATTTGTTATTGAGACAGGGTCTTGCTATGTTGCCTAAGTGGGAGTGCAGTGGCATGATCATGACTCACTGCAACCTTCGCCTCCTAGAATCAAGCCATCCTTCCACTCCCTAGTAGCTGGAACTACAGGCGCACACCACCATGCCTGGCTAATTTTTGTATTTTCTGTAGAAATGGGATCTCACCGTGTTTCCTAGGCTGGTCCCCAACTCTTCAGCTCAAGCAATCCCCCCAACCTTGCTTGGCCTTCCAGAATGCTGGGATTATGGCTGTGAGCCCTTGCACTCAGCCAGTTATATTGTTTTTAGGTTGTAGTTTCTTTTTTCTAAACAGCTTTATTAAGATATAATTGATATACAGTAAACTGCATATATTTAAAGTGTGCTGCCTGGCACTGTGGCTTATGCCTGTAATCCCTGCACTTGGGAGGCTGACGTGGGAAGTGCTTGAGCCCAGGAGTTCCAGACCAGGCAGGGCAATGTACTGAGACCCTGTCTCCACAAATGAACAAACAAAAAAAGCCAGATGTGGTAGCATATACCTACAGTCCCAGCTGTTTGAGAGGCTGAGGCAGGAGGATCGCTTGACCCCAGGAGTTTGAGTTTTCAGTGAGCTGTGATTGCACCACTGTATCCCTACCTGGGTGACGGAATAAGACTCTGTCTCAAATAAATAAGTATACAAACTTGGTAAGTTTTGACATGTATACACACGAAACCATCACCACAATCAAGATGGTGAAGATATTCAGTACTCCCAAAGCTGCCTTAATATCCTGTCCCTTTGTAATCCCTCCGTCCCTCACATCCCCTCACCATTGATTTTCTTTCTTTCTCATTTTCTTTCTTACTTTTTCTCTTTTGCTTTCTTTCTTTCTTTTTATTTTTCTTTCGAGTCTCGCTCTGTCACTCAGTCAGTAGTACACTGGCTTGATCTCAGCTCAACACAACTTCCACCTCCTGGGTTCAAGTGATCCTCCCACCTCAGCCTCCTGAGTAGCTAGGATTACAGGCCTGTGCCACCACACCTGGCTAATTTTGTTTGGATTTTTAGTAGAGACAGGGTTTCACCATGTTGGCCAGGCTGGTCTCAAACTCCTGACCTCTGATCTGCCCATCTTGGCCTCCCAAAGTGCTGAGATTACAGACATGAGCCACTGTGCCCAGCCTCCTTTGCTTTCTGTCACTCTAGTTTATGCATTTTAAAAATTCTATGCAAATGGAATCTTAACAGTATATATTTCTTTTCCTTCTGTTTGGCTTCTTTCATTCATCGTAATTATTTTGCAACTCATCCATGTTGTATGTATCAATACTTCATTCCTTTTTTTTGTTGAATGCTATTCCGTTATATGGACCCAATTTGTTCATCCTGTTTATGGACATTTGGGTTGTTTACAGTTTGGGGCGCTATTACAAATAAAGCTGTTATGAACATTCATGTGTGTGTCTTTGTATGGACATATGCTTTCATTTCTCTTGGGTAGATATTTTCTTGTGGAATGGCTGGGTCATATGGTAAATGAATTTTGACTTTTTATGAAGCTGCCAAACTACTTTCCAAAGTAAAACTAGCTTGAATTATTTTACATTCCCATTAGTAGTGTGTGAGAGTTCCAGTTGTTTCAGAATCAAGCCAATATTTGGAATAGTTCTACTTACTTTGTTGTATGGCCTTTTTAACTCAAAACATTCTAAAAGATGTATAGTGACATCTCATTGTGGTTTTAATTTGCACTTCCCTAATGACTAATGAGCATCTTTTCAACTCTTACTTGCCATTTATTTATCTTCTTTGGTGAAGTGTTTGTTCAAATCTTTTGCCCACTTTAAAATTGGTAATTTTAAGTTGGGTTATTTGTATTCTTATTGTTGGGCTCTTATTATTGAGATATACTTTACATGCCTTAAGATTCACTAATTTAAAGTGTACAATTCAGTGTTTTTTATTTTTTAAAAATTCCGAATTTTTCTTTTCAGTGTTTTTTAGTATATTCACAAAGTTGTGCAACTGTCATCACTATCTAATTCCAGAACATTTCATCACCCCTAAAAAAGAAACCTCACACCTTTCAGCAGTCACTCCCCATTCCCCTCCCCCTCGGGCTTTGGCAACACTAATCTACTTCCTGTCTAAACAGATTTGTCTCCTCTGGACATTTTATACAAATGGAATCATACAATATGTGGTCCTTAGTGACTGCTGTCACTTACTATAATGTTTTCAAGATTCTTCCATGTCATAGCATAATCAGTACTTTATTTCTTTTGGCGGCCAAATAATACTCCATTGTCTCAGTACTACATTTTGTTTATCCCTTCATCAGTGGATGGACATTTGGGTTGTTTGTAGTTCTTTGTTATTATGAATAATGCTGCTATGAACATTTGTGTGAAACTTTTTAGGTAGCATATGATTTCAGTTCCTTTGGGTTTGTAACCTAGGAGTGGAATTGTTGGGTCATATGGTAACTCTATGTTTAACTTTTTGAGGAACTGCCAAATTTGCCCATAGCAGCGATATCATTTTAAATTTTCATAGCAATGTATGAAGGTTACAATTTCTCCACTGCTCAGAGTTCATTGAACTTCTTGTATCTGTGGGCTTACAGTTTCTGACAAATCTGGAAAATTTTTAGCCATTTTTCTTTCTTTCTTTTTTTTTTTTTTTTTTGTCCAACTGAGTCTCACTCTTTCACCCAGGCTAGAGTGCAGTAGAGTGATCTCAGCTCACTGCAACTTCTGCCTCCCAGGTTCAAGTGATTCTTGTGCCTCAGCCTCCCTAGTAGCTGGCATTACAGGTGTGCACCATCACGCCTGACTAATTTTTGTATTTTTAGTAGAGATGGGGTTTCACCATGTTGGCCAGGCTTATCTTGAGTGCCTGACCTCAAGTGATCCACCTGCCTTGTCCTCCCAAAGTGCTGGAATTACGGGCATGAGCCACCGAGCCCAACCTATTTATTAAAGTACTTTTTCTATTCTCTCCATCTTTTGGAAAATACAACTATATGTACAATAACCTGCTTGAAGTTGTCCTGTAGCTCACTGATACTCTGATCATTTTCTTCAGTTTTCCCCCCATGCATTTCATTTTTGGAAAACCTCTATTGGTATGCTTTTAAGCTCACTAACTTTCTGTAATGTCTAATCTGCTGATAAACCTATCTAGTATATTTTTCATCTCATGCATTGTACTTTGCATCCCTAGAAGTTTTATCTGGATCTTTTTGTTGCTGTGTTTTGTTTGTTTGTTGCTGTTGTTGTTGAGACAGGATCTCACTATGTAGCTCAGGCTGGTCTTGAACCCCTAGCCTCAAGTGATCCTCCTACTTTGGCCTTTCAAAGCACTGAGATTACAGGTGTGAGCCATCATGCCTGGGCCTTAGTTATTTTTCAAACATTTTCTTCTGTCTCAACATGTCTACTCTTTCCTCTAGCTTCCTTAACTTATGAACTACAGGAATAATAACTATTTTAATATCCTGGTTTAATAATTATAGTGTCTTGGTCATTTTTGGGGCAGTTTTGGTTAACTTTCCTTATTATTATTGGTTAAATTTTCTTATTTCTTTGCATACCTGATGATTACTGGTTAAATTTTCCTATTTCTTTGTATGTCTGGTGATTTTTGATTGAATGCAAGACTGTGAATTTTAACTATGTTGAGTGCTAGATATTTTTGATTTGCCATAAATATTCTTTTTTTTAAAGTACAGCTGCACAGATTTCCCAAAAATATTCTTCATTTTTTTTCCTGGGATTTAGTTAAGTTACTTGGACACAGCTGGATCCTTTCACTTCTTGCCTCTACAGGACCACAGCAGCATCTACTGTAGGGCCAATTTTGTTTCAGTACTGATACAAAACCTCTCCAAATACCCAACTCTATGCTCTTCAAACTATGGGATTTCTTTTCCCCCTCTGGCTGATGCTAAAGGGAACGAACACTCCTAGGACTGTATGACCTCTAGGGATTGATTCCCTAATTCTTTCAGGTATTTCTTTGCCCATTGTTCCTTTGGGTGGTTTTCTCTCAGGCATATAGTGTTTAGCATCAGCTGAAGACTCAAGGGGACTTCTGTGGACTTGACCCTTTGCAGCTTTCTTCCCTCTAGTACTCTAACCTATGAACTCCAACTGCTCTCCAACCTATGAATGCCCGTCTCCCCTCCTCAATTCAGGGAGACAGCTGGGCTGTTTGTTTTCTGTTTCTCAGGGGCCACTGTCCTTTGCCTGATGTTCAATATCTTGGAAACTTGTTTCATCTATTTTCTTTTCAATTGTTTCAGGTGGGAGAGTAAGTCTGTTCCCTGTTACACTGTCTTGTCCAAAAGTGATTTTTTTCAAACAGTTGTTTTCTGCCCCATTCTTTAACTCCTCACTTCTGCAACTCTAATTATCCATTTGTGGAGTTTTTTGATATTGTCTCATAGGTCACTATGACTCTGTTCATTATTTTCTAATCTTGCTTCTTCCTTTATTTTTCAGATTGGGTAATTTCTAATGATCTGTCTTCAAGTTCATTGACTATTTTTATGTCATCTCTAATCTGCGGCTAACCCACTGAAGTTTGTTTATTTTTTAAATTTAAGAACTGTATTTTCCACTTGGTTTTTTACAATTTCTGTTCTGTGCTAAGATTTTCTATCCATTAATTATGAGCATATTTTAAGCATAGCTATCATAACTGTTGTAAAATCCTTGTCTTCTTTTTTTATTTCAGATTTTCATATCTAAGATAATTTTCTTTCTTTGTTTTTCTTATTTTACTTTAAGTTCCAGGACACAAGTACAGAAGGCGTAGGTTTATTACATAGGTATACGTGTGCCATGTTGGTTTGCTGCACCTATCAACCCCTCATCTATGTTTTAAGCCCTGCATGCATTAGTTATTTGTCCTAATGCTGTTTCTCCCCTTACACTCCACCCCCGAAAGGCCCTGATGTGTGTTGTTCCCCTCCCTGGGTCCATGTGTTCTCATTTTTCAACTCCCACTAATGAGTGAGGACATGTGGTGTTTGGTTTTCTGGTTCCTGTTTTAGTTTGCTGAGGATGATGGCTTCCAGCTTCATCTATGTCTCTGCAAAAGACAAGATCTTATTCATTTTTATGGCTGCATAGTATTCCATGGTGTATATGTACCATATTTTCTTTGTCTAGTCTATCATTGATAGGCATTTGGGTTGGTTACATATCTTTGCTATTGTAAATAGTGCTGCAATAAACATACATGTGCATGTGTCTTTATAGTAGAATGATTTGTGTTCCTTTGGGTATATACTCAGAAATGGGATTGCTGGGTCAAATGGTATTTCTGGTTCTAATATCCTTGAGGAATCGCCACACTATCTTCCACAATGACTGAACTAATTTACATTCCCACTAACAGTGTAAAAGCATTCCTATTTCTACACAGCCTTGCCAGCATCTATTGTTTCTCAACTTTTTAATAATTGCCATTCTGACTGGTGTGAGATGATATGTCTCTATGGTTTTGATTTGCATTTCTCTAATGATCAGTGATGTTGAGCTTTTTTTCATGTTTCTTGGCCATGTAAATGTCTTCTTTTGAGAAGTGTCTGTTTATATCCTTTGCCCACTTTTTGATGCTTTTTTTTTTCTTATAAACTTGTTTGTTTTTGTAGACTCTGACCTTTGTCAGATGGGTAGATTGCAAAAATTTTCTTCCATTCTGTAGGTTGCCTGTTCACTCTGATGATAGTTTTTTTTGCTGTATAGAAGCCCTTTAGTTTAATTAGATCCCATTTGTCAATTTTGGCTTTTGTTGCAATTGCTTTTGTTGTTTTTGTCATGAAGTCTTTGGCCATGCCTATGTCCTGAATGTTATTACCTAGGTTTTATTCTGGGTGCTTATGGTTTTGCGTTTTACATTCAAGTCTTTAATCCATCTTGAGTTAATTTTTGTATAATGTGTAAGAAAGTGGTCCAGTTTCAGTTTTCTGCATATGGCTAGTCAGTTCTCCCAGCACCATTTATTAAATAGGGAATCCTTTCCCCATTGCTTGTTTGTCTGGTTTGTCAAAGATCAGATGGTTGTAGATGTGCGGTGTTATTTCTGAGGTCTTCATTCTGTTCCATTTGTCTATATATCTGTTTTAGTACCAGCACCATGCTGTTTTGGTTACCATAGCCTTGTAGTATAGTTTTAAGTCAGGTAGCGTGATGCCTCCAGCTTTGTTCTTTTTGCTTAGGATTGTCTGGGTTATATGGGCTCTTTTTTGGTTCCATATGAAATTTAAGGTAGTTTTTTCTAATTCTATGAAGAATGTCAATGGTAGATTGTTGGGAATAGCATTTATCTATAAATTACTTTGGGTAATTTGGCCATTTTCATGATATTGATTCTTCCTATCCATGAATATGGAATGTTTTTCCATTTGTTTGCATCCTCTCTTATTTCCTGGAACAGTTGTTTGTAGTTCTCTTGAAAGAGGTTCTTCACATCCCTTGTTAGGTGTATTCCTAGGTATTTTATTCTCTTTGTAGCAATCGTGAATGGGAGTTCATTCATGAATTGGCTCTCTACTTGTCTATTTGTGTATGGGAATGCTTGTGATTTTTGCAGATTGATTTTGTATTCTGAGAGTTTGTGGAAGTTGCTTATCAGCTTCAGGAGTTTTTGAGCTAAGACAATGGGGTTTTCTATGTATAGAATCATGTCATCTGCAGAAAGAGACAGTTTGACTTCCTCTCTTCCTATTTTAATACACTTTATTTCTTTCTGTTGTCTGAATGCCCTGGCCAGAACTTCCAGTACTATGTTGAATAGGAATGGTGAGAGAGGGCAACCTTGTCTTGTGCTGGTTTTCAAAGGAAATGCTTCCAGCTTTTGCCCATTCAGTATGATATTGGCTGTGGGTCTGTCATAAATAGCTCTTATTATTTTGAGATATGTTCCGTCAATACCTAGTTTATTGAAAGTTTTTAACATGAAGGGATGTTGAATTTTATTGGTTTTTTTCTGCATCTATTGAGATGATCATGTGGTTTTTGTCATTGGTTCTGTTTATGTGATGGATTATGTTTATTGATTTGCATATGTTGAACCAGCCTTGCATCCCAGGGGTGAAGCCGACTTGATCGTGGTGGATAAGCTTTTTGAGGTGCTGCTGGATTCGGTTTGCCAGTATATTATTGAGGATTTTTGCATCAAAGTTGATCAGGGATATTGGCCTGAAGTTTACTGTTTTTGTGTGTCTCTGCCAGGTTTTGGTATCAGGATAATGCTGGCCTCATAAAATGAGTTAGGGAGGAGTCCCTCTTTTTCAATTGCTTGAAATCGTTTCAGAAGGAATGGTACCAGCTCCTCTTTGTATCTCTAGTAGAATTCAGTTATGAATCCCTCGGTCCTGGGCTTTTGTTGTTGTTGTTGTTGGTAGGCTATTAATTACTAGCCTAGGAGGCCAAGGTCACAGTGAGCTGTGATTGCGCCACTGCACTCCAGCCTGGGCAACAGAATGAGATCCTGTCTCAAAAAAAAAAAAAAAAAAAAAAGAAGAGTTATTGAGGAAGAGAAGCGATGGCAGAAGGCTATTTGGTTGATAGGTTATTAATTACTGACTCAATTTCAGAACTTATTATTAGTCTATTCAGGGATTCGAATTCTTCCTCGTTTAGTCTTCTGAGGGTGTATGTGTCTAGGAATTTTTTCATTTCTTCTAGATTTTCTAGTTTATTTGTGTAGACGTGTTTATAGTATTCTCTGATGGTAGTTTGTATTTCTGTGAGTCAGTGGCGAAAATATTCCTTTTATCATTTTTTAATGTGTCTATTTGATTTTTCTCTCTTTTCTACATTATTAGTCTAGCTAGTGGTCTATCTATTCTGTTAAGTTTTTCAAAAAACCAGCTCATGGATTCACTGATTTTTTGAAGGTTTTTTGTGGATGATCAGTATGTCTTATATAGTCAAAAAGCCTCAAATACAGGCCTAATTAAATCTATTTTTACCCAGAAAAGTAAAAGCATTTTATAAGATGTGGGAAAAAAAAGTGGGTTCTAACTACCCGACTCTGGGAAAGTCATTTGACCATTTTGAGATTCAAAATGCCTATGAGCTGAGTTACATTTTGCTGTAGCCAAGAGCAGACAGATTAAAATAGTCTTTAAAAAGCACTTGGTGGGTTGGGCACAGTGGCTCAAGCCTGTAATTCCCATACTTTGGGAGGCTGAGGCAGGCAGATCACTTGAGGCCAGGAGTTCAAGACCGGCCTAGCCAGCATGGCAAAACCCGTCTCTACTGAAAATACAAAAATTAGCCAAGCATGTGTCTGCACGCCTGTAATCCTAGCTACTTTGGAGGCTGATGCATGGGAATCGCTTGAACCCTGGAAGTGAAGGTTGCAGTGAGCCGAGATGGCGCTGCTGCACTCCAGTAGCCTAAGCGACAGTGACATAGCAATACTCTGTCTCAAAAAAAAAAAAAAGAAGTACTTGATGATATGATTTGGAGTAGACAAACTGCATGCATAGAGAACGTTCCAGGGATGTATCTGTCATGCAAAAGATAATGATTCCAGATAGCACTAATAATTTTTGAAGATTTTCTTTTCAAAGTTTAATTCTGTCCTTTCAGGTCTTAGCTAAAGAAGATACTGAGGCAGCTATTCAATCAATATTATACAGAGAAAATTATATAACTAAGGTAAGAATTGGCTACAAAATGCATCTCAGTTAAAAATTGAATGTAGTTTTTCCTTTTTATATGTAGCATATTCTATAAAAACTATTTAGAAAATATGGAAAATAGAATTAAGACCACTCCCTTGCACCTGGAATTAACCTTAAGGTATCTCTGAGATTGCTTCAGTGGATTTCCTCTCTTCCTATACTTTGTGGGAATTCCTTCGCAAAGAGGCACAAGAATTTCCCTCTACCCACTTGTTTTTGTTTGTTTGTTTGTTTGTTTTTTTGAGACGAAGTCTTGCTCTGTTGCCCAGGCTGGAGTGCAGTGACGTGATCTCAGCTCACTGCAACCTCTGCCTTCTGGGTTCAAGCGATTCTCCTGCCCCAGCCTCCTAAGTAGCTAGGATTACAGGCACATGCCACCATGCCCGGCTAATTTTTGTATTTTTAGTAGCGACGGCGTTTCACAATGTTAGCCAGGCTGGTCTCAAACTCCTGACCTGAAGTGATCCACCCACCTCGGCCTCCCAAAGTGCTGGGATTACAGGCGTGAGCCACTGCGCCTGGCCAAGTTTTAATTTTTCTGTAGAGATGAAGTCCGACTATTTTGCCCATGCTGGTCTTGAACTCCTGGGCTCATGTGATCCTCCTGCCTTGGCCTCCCAGAATGCTAAGATTACCAGTGTAAGCCACCGCACCTATCCTAAATCCTCATTCTTAAAGGTCCAGCCCAAATGTCTCCCACTTTGGGAATCTTGGCTTTAAAAAAAAATAATAATTTCTTTCAATGTATGCAATGTAAAAGTAAATATACACAATATAAAATTTCCCATTTTAACCATTTTTTAATTTTTAATTTTTAAAATTTTTGTTTCTCATTTCAACCATTTTAAGTATGCTATTCAGTGCCATTAATTACATTAATAATGTTGTGCAACCATCACCACTATTTCCAAAACTTTTTCATTACTCCAAACTGAAACTTTGTATTCAATAAGCAATGACTCCTCATTTCTCCCTCCCCCAGGCACGTGGTAACCTCGAATCTACCTTCTGTCTCTATGAATTTTGCCTATTCTATATTTTTCATATATGTAGAATCCTATACTATTTGTCCATTTGTGTCTGGCTTATTTCACTTTGGCATATTGTTTTCAAGATTCATCCACGTTGTAGCATATATCAGAACTTCATTCATATTATGGCCAAATAATATTCCATATTACACATATAAATAAATGTGGTTTGTAGATACCACATTTTGTTTATCTGTTCATCTGTTGATGGATACTTGGACCGTTTCCGCCTTTGGGCTATTGTGAATAATGCTGCAATGAACATTGGTGTAGGAGTATCTATTTGAGTCCTGGATTTTCATGCATTTGGGTATATACCTAGGAGTGGAATCGCTGGGTCTTATGTTAGGTCTGTTTAAATTTCTGAGGCCCACCAAACTGAGACTCTTTTAACAATCTAGGAAATGGTTTTTCTCTCCTCCCTCTTCAATTATTTTATATATAGTATGCCATATATATATGCATCATATATAAATATACATCTTGCTATATTCGTCCTCCCACTGTTTGTGAATTTGTTTCTTAGGGATGGGTTTTTACTATGTTGCCCAGGTTAGAGTACAGTGGCCTGATCGTAGTGAACTGCAGTCTTGAGCTCCTGGGCTCAAGCGATCCTCTAGCTTCAGCCTCCTAGGTAGCTAGAAATATAGGTAGGCACCACCTCACCTTGCTTTTGATTTTTTCTTTAGTCTTTCTCCCCAGGGAGAGCAGGCATGTCACCTCAACTACCTGTGTTTTCCTTGTTTGCAGCAGAGTGTATGTCACATAGTAGAAGTTAAAGCCAAAGAAATGATTGAATTAATGAATGTCTTTGTGGGTTATTCTTAGGGGTAATTTAAACTTATGAAGTTAAGTTTTAACTTTTTGAAAACTTAAAACGTAAATTAAATTTGGAAAATTTCAGAACAAGAAAGCTTTAGGATAATATATTTGTCTTTTCTATCACTGTTTACTAGGAACTAGATAAATATTTACAACATCAAGCCTTCTTAAATGCAAGAAGAAAGGAGATGTTATATAAAAGATGGGTCGACCACGTGGCACATCCTCTTCAGAAGAAAATTATAGAAAAAGTTTGCTCACAGAAGAAGATTAAAAAAAGGAGACAAGAGGAATCAGACAGCTTTATAAAACATGTAAATAAAAAGGTACTAAGAGATCATTTGACGCTTTTTTCAGTTGATTTAAAACCTAATGTCATCTTTGTTAATTTATAATTATCTAGTCAGTCTGTCCCTTTCCCCTCTATGTATGTATAATCTATACCCTGTTATAGAATAGCATAAAGTATTCTTAAATTCAGGGCATTTGGAAAGGACAGAAAAGGAAGATTATATTTGGATTTAATTGTGTACATTAGAACCATTTTTCTGTTTTCCCCATGTAATTATTAATTTTAATTATCAAGTTAAGACATTTGGGCTGGGTGTGTCGCTCACACCTATAATCTCAGCACTTTGGGAGGTTGAGGCGGGTGGATTACCTGAGGTCAGGAGTTCGACACCAGCCTGGCGAACAATGTGAAACCCTGTCTCTACTAAAAATACAAAAATTAGCCAAGCATGGTGGCGGGCACCTATCATCCCAGCTACTCAGGAGGCTGAGGCAGGAGAATTGCTTGAACCTGCGAAGTGGAGATTGCAGTAAGCTGAGATCACACCACTGCACTCCAGCCTAGGTGATGGAGCAAGACTCTGTCTCATAAATTAAAAAATAGACAAATAATTTGGACTGTAGGTTCAGGACATATTTTTCTTTTATTCTATAGCTTGATTATTTGCAAAGCTCTAAAATATAGCTGTTCTAGCATTTTTAAAAAATCTGAGATGTTTGACTAGTAAGCATTTAAGAACAAATTTCCAAATATTTTAGTGTTCCAGCATTCTTTATTAAAATCTTACAAATTTTAAGTAGATTCTTTCCCTCGCTATACTTTATTGCTTGAATAAACTAAATTTCCAATATAGCCTTCTCTTTCCTTTTGCACTTGTCACTAATGCCACTTTCAAGCATAAGAATGATACTGTGTGTTTGACTCTCATGTCCTGATATGCTCAAAATTAACTGTGCGCCTCTTGTTCTTATGTGTGGTTTTATTTCCTTGCTATAGGGAAATGCGTTTATAGAACATTATGATCCAAAGGAGTATGATCCCTTTTATATGAGCAAGAAGGACCCCAATTTTCTGAAGGTAGGGTAGATTTCTTCTTTAACTTTGGTGTTATGTGTTTGGTTGTTTTGAGCAGCCTTAATGTCTGAGCAGTCTTTAAGTGATTCCCTAAAAGTGCAGTAACATTTTAAGCATAGTTTCCCATCACCTGATCTTAAAAAGGAACAAACAGCCAAAGGCCAAAGTGAATTAAATCTCTGTAAAAATGGAAAATAGTGGATAATGATTGGGTAATAGGTAATGTTTAAAAATTCCATAGACTTTTACATTAGTTACAAGAGTAACACATTTTCATGGTAGATAAATGAGGAAATAAAAAACCAAAATTCCATTACCTGGAATTAACTCATTATAATGTTAACTCATTAACATTTTTCTGTATATCTATCTAGACTTCTTTCTATATGTGTGTATATATACATATTTTTATTTTGTAAGAATGGAGTTACATTTGGTTTTATAATGGGCTTTCCTTCCCTCGATAGTTTATTATTTGCTTCTTTGTTAAAAAATATAAACATATAATTGTCTTCGTTGTATGGTATTCTGTTATTAATAGCAGAATTAATTAACCTTGTACTGAAGGATTAACCAAGTTTTAGAGTTTTTTTCCCATTTTATTTCTTCTTTACTGCTACTGTATGAGGTAAGTCACAGATGAGACAAGTGAGGCTCAGGTCACTTGTCAAAGTCACCCAGCTGTCAATAGCAGAGCACAGATGTGGTTTTTTTGTTTTGTTTTGTTTTTCTGAGATGGAGTCTCACTCTGTTGCCTAGGCTGGAGTACAGTGGTGCACTCTCTGCTCACTGCAATCTCTGCCTCCTGGGTTCAAGAGAGTCTCCCACCCGCAAAAAAAAGAGATTCTCCTACCTCAGCCTCCCAAGTAGCTGGGATTACAGGCATGTGTCACCATGCCTGGCTAATTTTTGTATTTTTAGTAGAGACAGCATTTCACCATGTTGGCCAGGCTAGTCTCAAACTCCTTACCTCAAGCGATTTGCCAACTTTGGCATCCCAAAGTGCTGGGATTACAGACTTGAGCCTCTGCTCCTGGCCTTATCTTGTATAAAATGTTGTTTTGAAATATGTATACATTGTGGAATGACTAAATCAAGCTAATTAACATATACATTGCCTCGCAAACACCAGTTTTTTCTAAGTGAGAACACATAAAATCTACCCCCTTTGCAATTTTCAAGAATACAATACATTGTTATTAACTATAGCCATCATGTTGTACAATAGATCTCTAGAAAAATTTTATGGCAGCCGAGTGAGGTGGCTCATGCCTGTAATCTCAGCACTTTGGTAGGCTGAGGCATATGGATCAGAAGTTCAAGACCAGCCTGGCCAACATGGCGAAATTCCATCTTTACTAAAAATACAAAAATGAGCCAAGCGTGGTGGCATGTACCTGTAGTCCCAGCTGCTCAGGAAGCTGAGACAGGAGAATCTCATGAACCCGGGAGGTGGAGGTTGCAGTGAGCCAAGATGGAGCACCACTGCACTCCAGCCTGGGTGACAAAGTCAGACTCTGTCTCAAAAAAAAAAAAAAAAAAAAAGAAAAGAAAAGAAAAAGAAAAATGTTATGGATGAAAAAAATATAATTGTATTGCAGTCAAGTGAATTTAGTGACACAAATTATTTGTTAATAAGGTTTCTTGAACATTTAAAAAGATACCATTTTTAAATGGTATTTAGGGAATACATTTTATCCTTTTTAGAGAGGTTTTATTAGAACTAGTATTGGCCCTCATGTGTCCAAATCATTGAGAAGTCTAATATTAATTGTTTTTGGAGGTCTCCAACCTTAAGTTGTACAGTCATGCTGTGGGCTTGTGTCATCCCACAAAATGGTCCCACAGCCTCCCAAATCTTGGTGGGACACATCTCTGGTCCCAGGCCCAGGTTGTACTACAATTGTTATTCCTTATGATCACATTCTGTGGCTTAGGTGCTGGCCCCATTTGTAGACCCAGCATTGCTGTTTCTTGTCTTCAGATCCAGGTCCTTGCCCATGTCTGACAGAGACTCCACCTGAGAGTGTCTCGGGTAGACTCCAGAGGCTGGGCTCCTAGTGATCTGCTTTGTACTCTTTATGGACCTGGCACCTCCCAGACCCTGCTCCTGAGCTGCCGCAGAGTCTGTAAACTTGTCCTTATTCTCAATTCTGGGTTTTCCAGTGGAGATATCCAATGTTAACTCCTTTCCCCCTTTTAATTTCCTCAGTACAGGAAAGGTTCATCCTGCCCCTTCTTTCAGCAGTAGGGCTTGAGATGATCCAGAGCATCTGGCTTCAGACCAGCCCAAATGACCCTGTCTGTCTTCCTTTCCTGGGAGTGGGACAGATCTGACTTTAGGAACACAGAGCCGTGATTCCTTCCTTCAGATGGATCTTCAGCATTTCTCTGAATGTGCTTTTTGCAGCTTTACTTTAAAATTAGCTTTATTAAGTCTTCCTCCTTCAGTACACATCTTTTAGATATTCTTTGTGATGAAATGGAAGTATGCGAAGAGCACTTGTGCTGCTACTGAAATACGGATGATTGCTTGAATTGTGAGCTGAACTGGCTGCTTTCTTTTTTCTTCCATGAAACACCGTTTTTACTTGAAAGAATGCCTTACAAACTATGATTAGTAAGTCCTGGGTATTTGGTGGTATTTTCTAAAAAATGAATGAAATCAGTTTGTCACTTCAAGAAAAACTACTGACGATATTTGTTGCCCGTGATAAAATGTGAGCTTTCAAGCAAAACATTTGGAATTTTGGAAAACTCATATTCCCCATCAGAAGTGTGACAGTGTCCCAATACTCAAAAGATCTTACTGGTGAAATTGGTAATGATATTAATGAATGATTCTTTGATATTAAGTAATGAAATGTACAAACATTTGGAAGATCTTGCATAACTCCATGACCCAGTTATTTGGATGTAACAACAACAACAACAACAGCAATGTTTTGAAATAAAATAGTTTCAGAACCACTGTGTTATAATACCTCCATTTATGATGTACAAGTGCTTGTCAGTAGAAATAGGAGAGTCTCAGGACTTATAACTGTTGTTAAAACTTTAGATTCTTGTTTGTTTCTATCTTCAATTTTAAATTTAAAATTTGGTCCGGGTGTGGTGGCTCACGCCTATAATCCTACCACTTTGGAGGCTGAGGTGGGAGTATGGCCTGAACGCAGCAGTTCAAGACCAGCCTGGGCAACATAGGGAGACCCTGTCTCTACAAAACAATTAAAAAATTAGCTGGACATGATGGTGCACACCTGTGGTCCCAGCTACTTGGGAGGTGAAGGTGGGAGGATGGCTTGAGCCCAGGAGGTCGAAGCTGCAGTGAACCACTGCACTCCAGGCAGGGCAACAGAGCGAGACTCTGTTGGAGAGCTTCAAGATGACTGGCTCACAGCATCTGACACTCACCTCCTCAACAGAAGAACCAAAATAGCGAGTAGACAATTGTACTTGGAACACATCATCTAAGAGAGAGCACTGGAATTCTAGAGAAGTGACAAGGAAACATCCAAGGTCAGGAAGGAGAGGGAGGTGAGGCAGCCTGCCTGAGACTAACACGGGCGCTGCCTCGAGACGCAGAGGGCCAAGATGTGAGCAGCTGGCAGCAACCTTGCTGACCTCAGCACGGGCGCCATGGCTCACTTTCTTGTATCCGGCAGACAGGCCCCACCTGTAGCATCACCTAGGCTGAAACATACACTCTTTAGCTGCCTGCCTATGCCTGTCGCCACTGAAAGCAACCCCACCCTCCCCAGCAGCAGGGACACAGCACAGCCACCAGCTCCCCTACCAGAGTACACTGCAGGGGACTAGGGATCACCTTGCCCCATCCACCATTGTTGGCGAGAGCCCACCAGCCTGCTGCTACCATCACAGCTGGCACCCTCCTGCACGCACCAACTGCGGGTCTGGAGACTGGCTCACTCAGCCTGTTGCAGCCGCTGCCAGCCCCCATGTGGGCCACTTGGGGGAATGTCTCGTCACTGTTACTGCCATTGCCTATGACATGTCCACTGCCCAGGCATTCAAGAATCTGCCCATCCACCTAACCCACTACGGCCACTGCCTGCGCCCTAGCAAGCTACCTGGAGACCCAAGAACTGGCCCACCTGAACCTGTAGCACCGGTTCCAGTGTATGCTGCTCTGAGGACCAAGGCCAGGTACGCCTAGCCTGTCAGTGCTTCCACTGAGGCTGAGGACTGGCCCGCCCAGAGTCCCCATCCCCAGCAAAACTTCACCACAGCTTTCAACAACTGTACCCTAAGCCACCGAGGAAAACACAGACACCACTGACACTGTTTGCAGCCGGAGAAATCATATGGAGACTACACTGCTGCACACATCCAGGATCAAAGCCGAAGTGTCTTACCCATCCAACGCCATAGAAAGCAAATCAAAAAACAGGAAGAAGCATCCGTTACCCCAGATACACAGATGTCATGTAAGAAGACAAGAAACATGAAAAAGCAAGGCTCTGACACCTCCAAAGGAGTACAGCTCTCCAGCAGCAGAGTCCAGTGCCATTGAAAATTTGATCTGCTCTTCATATATGAATAGCTCACATACAAATACCTGAAAATGATAGTACCTTTCTTTGTTCCTTTTTATAGTGAGTTAATATTTTCTTAATATTTTGTAAGTAGCACTCTTCATAACTTCTGTAAAAGCAAAATTATACTGGGCAGTCTGATCACTGTTTATTTCAACTCTAATAGTCATTGTTAAAACATGCGCACTGAATGAAGAGACCCCCCCCTCCGCAAACAGACTTTGTGTGAGCAACATGGCTGTTTATTTACCTGGGTGCAGATGGGCTGAGGCCGAAAAGGGTGTCAGCCAAGGGCAGCGGGATAGAGTTGGTTTTACAGATTTGGGATGGGTAGTGGAAAGTTATAGTTTAGGGCAGTTGTTTGCTGGGAGGGAGTTGTAGGGTGTGGACTCACCAGGTTGACCAAGGTCGGTTACAAAGTCCAATGACCTTATCCATTGGGGAATAAGGAACAATAGAGATTATCTCAAAGTTAAGTAGGTGCAGCAGGGGTTGATCATTTCTTCGGTCTTCCAGGAACTCATCTGGAGTGTCCGTGCAGGTCACAGAGGTTAACATGGCACCGTTAGCCTAAAAGACCTTACAGTCATGATGTGTATTATAATTACCCCTGAAAAACTAGCCTGATGAGGATTAGAAAGATAAATGAGTGACCTTTTAAGACTGTGGTAGAATTTCACTGACTAGGCCTGCATGGTGAATGTTGCTATTGGTGAATCCTGTTTTTTCTTATGTAAACTGTCATTTTGATACTGATAATATTGGCCTTTAACATAGATTTAGTGCTTCCATACCTTGGCTCACAAATGATCTATATTTTGAATAACTTGGTTAAGTTTTAAGTAATGTTAGTTATGTTGTTGATTATCAATGTTAGGCATTAAGATGAATATATGGATATATTTTTTCTTTTGTGCATGGGAAAGGAATTTTTTAAATTTGGGAACATATGATAACAAAAATAATAATTTTTGAAGACTGAACCCACACTTTGAAACAAGAGCTAACCTTGTCTCTTTGACTGGAGGGCCTTGTTAAGAGAGGTATTGATATGCCCCCATCTCTTTGTAAATTATTAAATATACATAATGGTAAGCCTATTTGTAAATACTATATTATTTACTTTACTCTCTGGCATAATAGCCATCCATATTTGGATGCTTAGAATAGACTGAAAATGTTTACTACTCATACCTGCAGCTCAGTCCTCAAACAAGTGCCTCTCTTGTAGGTTACCATCCCACCATTTCGTGACCCTTTGAAAAAAGCACAGTATGACAAGGATAATGAAAAAAGAACTCTTCTTCAGTGTGAGACTGGTACTTAGTTTCTAATTGTTATGTGATTTCATAGCCCAAGAGCAATGGCAGTTGCCTTTAAGGATGTTAATTTAAATTTTTATTCTTCCTGCAGGCAAAATGTATACAATAAAAGAATTCAAAGAAGTTGAGAAGGCTCAGCTGCATTCCAGATTCCCACAAATTTCTAATTCAAGGAACTTTGTGACTCCAAATGAGTGGCTAAAACTGCCTACAGGATACATAGAAAGTGAATTTTGTAAAAGGAGAAGGTAATGGTTAATATACTAGAGATTATAGAACCTTTTGGACTTTGAAAATTCTTGAGACTGATATAAAATTTTTTATAGTTATTATTTTTTTAAATTTTCCTTTTTTTTTTTTGAGATGATCTCGTTCTGAAAATTTCATTTTTCAGTGAAAAATCTGTAATTCTTATCTTTGTTTCTGTGTATGTGATGTTTCTTTTTTCTTGGATACTTTTGGGATTTTCTCTTTCTCTTTGGTTTTCATTAGCTAGACTATGATCTGTCTGTATTTGTTTTTTTCTATCTTAATGTTCTCTGAAGTTCTTACATATGTGGTTTTATGTCTTTTATTATTTTGGGGAAATTCTAGACCATTATTACCACTTCAAATACTTCTTATTCCCTATTCTCTCTGCTTTTTATCTTCCTTCTGAGACTCCAATTATATGTATATTAGACCACTTGATGATGTCTCACAGTGCCATAGCTCTTACTCTGCTCTATTTTTCCACTCTTTTTTTCCTTATTTAGTATTTCAGTTGGATGATTTCTGACTTGTTTTTAAGTTCGCTGTCCTTCCTTAGCTGTGTGCCATCTACTGAAGACCCCATCAAAGGAATTCTTCATCTTTGATATGATTTTTAAATTTCTAACATTACCATTTGATTCTTTTATATAGTTTTTAATTTATTCTGAAATTCTTCATCTGCTCATGCATGTTGTCCACCTTTCCACTAGATTCTTTACCATATTAATTATTTAAAATTCCCTATCTGGTAGTTCCAACATTAGGGTCATTTATAAATCTGGTTCTCTCGGTTGCTTTGTCTCTTGATAATAGATTGTTTTACCTTGCTTTTTCTTTTTCTTTCTTTTTTTTTTTTTTGCATGTCTTGTAATTTTTTATTGAGTGCCAGATATTTGTTGTAGAAGAACAGTGTACACAGAGTATTTATGTGTAGAAATGGACTTGCCTTTTCTTCTGTCAAGCATTTGTGTGAAGGATTAGGCTTATCTAGTTGGAGTTGAATTGGCTTTGGGTATTGTTATTGCTATTGTTACCTTTAGTGCACCACAGGCTTCAAATACCTCTAGTGGTTTGGCTGCTTTGTCTTGTGCTTAGGGTGGAGGTGGGGTACCAGAGGATTTTCTCAAGTGTTTCTGCTCCTCCCTCAGTTTTCAGCTATCCATGCAAGCTGGCATCATAGAGGTGGAGGGGTGTTCTCTCCATGCCCTTGCCTCTCCCATGGGAGTATACCGCTGTTGCATGTTGCTTATTGCAAGTCTCCTAGTGGAGGCGAGAAATATCTTATGTTTTTCTCATTGAGCTTCAGTCTTAGGCAAGCCCTGTGTGCTAAAGCCTCAGGAGCAGGGCTTTCCTGAGGTTCCTTTTTCTTAGCCTTGTGGCAGCCAAACTTGACCTTGTATCTATGCTTGTTCTTGGATGGCAGTTTCCTGTCTGTCTTCCAATGACAGCAGATTTCTGCTTACTGTAAGAATAGGAGTCTTGATGTCTTTTTTTTTTTTATCTTTAAGTTTTGTGGATACATAGTGGTTGTATATATTTATGAGGTACATGAAATGTTTTGATACAGGCATGCAATTGATAATGATCATGTAAGTAAAATGACGTATCTATCCCCTCAATGATTTATTCATCATGTTACAAAGAATCCAATTACACCCTTTCTGTTATTTTAAAATGTGCATTTAAAGTGTTACTGACTGTAGTCCCTTTGTTGTGCTATGATATACTAGATCTTATTTGTTCTTTCTATTTTTTGTCCCCATTAACCCCATCCCTACTTACCCTTCACCTTCTCAACACACTTCCCAGCCTTGGGTAGCCATTCTTCTGCTCTCCATCTCCATGAGTTCAATTGTTTTGATTTTTAGATCCTACAAATAAGTGATAACATGTGATATTTGTCTTTCTGTGCATGGTTTATTTCACTGAGCACAATAACCTACAGTTCCATCCATATTGTTGCTAATAACAGGATCGTATTCTTTTTTATGGCTGAATATTACTCCATTGTGTGTAAGTACATTTTCTTTATCCATTTATCTGTTGATGGACACTTAGTTTCCTTCCAAATCTTGGCTAATGTGAACAGTGCTGCAACAAACATGGGAGTGCAGATATCTCTTCAATATACTGATTTTCTTTCTTTTGAGTATGTTTGCAACAGTGGGATTGCTGGATCATGTGGTAGGTCTATTTTTAGTTTTTTGAGGCTCCTCCAAACTGTTCTCCATAGTAGTTGTACTCATTTACATTCCCACCAACAGTGTCCAAGATTTCTCTTTTCTCTACATCCTTACCAGCATTTGTTCTTGCCTGACCTTTAGATATAAGCCATTTTAACTGGAGTGAGATGATATCTCATTGAAGCTTTTTCTTTTTCTTTTTTTTTTTTTTTTGAGATGGAGTCTCACTCTGTCACCCAAGCCATAGTGCAGTAGCCTCTGCCTCCTGGGTTCAAGCAATTCTCCTGTCTCAGCCTCCCAAGTAGCTGGGACTAGAGGTGCACACCACCACGCCCAGCTAATTTTTGTATTTTAGTAGAGATGGGTGTTCACTATATTGGTCAGGCTGGTCTCAAACTCCTGACCTCAGGTGATCCACCTGCCTCGGCCTCTCAATGTGCAGGTGTGAGCCACCATGCCTGGCTTGTGGTTAATTTGTAATAAGGCTTTCCTTCTCTCAAAAATCTGATGCCATAGTATTGGCTTCTGTGTGCATCGGACAGCATGAGCCACCACACCCGGCCTACTTTCTTTCTTTTTATTTTTTGTAAATCCGTTGTTGTTTTTTTGATTTGTGATTACCATGAGGCTTGCAAATACTATCTTGTAACCCATTATTTTTATTTATTTATTTATTTTAAAAGACAGGGTTTCACCATGTTGGCCAGGCTGGTCTTGAACTCCTGACCTCAGGTGATCCGCCTGCCTCAGTCTCCCAAAGTGCTGAGATTATAGGCATGAGCCAACACGCCCGGCCATAACCCATTATTTTTAACTGACGGCAACTTAAAACTGACTGCATATACAAACGCACAAAAAGAAAACTAGTGAAAACACTATACTTTAACTTTGTTCCCCTACTTTTTAACTTGTTTCTCTTTGTGTCTTATTGTACTATCTATTTCTTCAAAAGTTATTGTAACTATTTTTGATTGGTTCATCATTTAGTCTTTCTATTTAAAATAAGAGTAGTTTACACACCACCTTTGCAGTTTTATATTATCCTGTGCTTTTCTGTGTGCTTACTATTACCAGTCAGTTTTGTATCTAGAGATGATTTCTTCTTGCTTATAACATCCCTTTCTTTCAGATTAAAGAACTCCCTTTAACATTTCATATAGGACACGTTTGGTGTTGATGAAATCCCTCAGCTTTTGTTTGTCTGGGAAGGTCTTTATTTCTCCTTCGTGCTTGAAGGATATTTTTTCTGGATAATACTATTCAAGGGTAAAAGTTTTTTTCTGTCGGCACTCTATTTCTTTATTTTATAAATTTTTTTTTTGAGACACAGTCTCACTCTGTCACCCAGGCTGGAGTGCAGTGGCATAATCTCAACTCACTGCAACCTCTGCCTCCCAGGTCCCAGTGATTCTTGTGCCTCAGCCTCCTCAGTTGCTGCAATTATAGCTGTGCACCACTACACCCGCTAATTTTTGTATTTTTAGTAGAGATGGCGTTTCTCCATATTGGCCAGGCTGGTCTTGAACCCCTGACCTCAAGTGATCCACCTGCTTCAGCCTCCCAAAACGCTGGGATTACAGGGATGAGCCACCATGTCTGGCCATGTCAGCACTTTAAGTATGTCTTGTCACTCTCTCCTGGCCTGCAAGGTTTTCACTGAAAAGTCTGCCACCAGACGTATTGGAGCTCCATTGTATGTTTATTTGTTTCTTCCTCTTGCTGCTTTTAGGGTCCTTTCTTTATTCTTGATCTTTAGGAGTTTGATTATTAAATGTCTAGAGGTAGTCTTCTTTGGGTTAAATCTGCTTGGTGTTCTATAACTTTCTTCTACTGGAATATAGATATCTTTCTCTAGGTTTAGGAAGTTCTCTGTTATTATCTCTTTGAATAAACTTTCTACTTCTATCTCCATCTCCTCTGTAAGGCCAGTAACTCTTAGATTTGTACTTTTGAGACTATTTTCTGGTCTTCCAGATGTGCTTCATTGTTTTTTATTCTTTTTTCTTTTGTCTCCTCTGAGTGTCTATTTTCAAATAGCCTGTCTTCAAGCTCACTAATATTTTTTTCTGTTTGATCAATTCTGCTATTAAAAGACTCTGATATATTCTTCAGCATGGCAGTTGCATTTTTCAACTCGAGAATTTCTGCTTGATTCTTTGTTTTTTTTTTTTTTTTTTTTTTTGAGACAGAGTCTTGCTCTGTTGCCTAGGCTGGAGTGCAGTGGTGTGATCTCGACTTACTGCAACCTCTGCCTCTTGGGTTCAAGTGATTCTCATCCCTCAGCCTCCCGAGTACGGTAGCTGGAATTACAGGCACCCGCCACCACACCTGGATAATTTTTTGTATTTTTAGTAAAGATGGGGTTTCACCATGTTGGCCAGCTTGGTCTCGAACTCTTGACATCAGGTGATCCACCTGCCTTGGCCTTCCAAAGTTCTGGGATTACAAGCATGAGCCACTGAGTCCAGCCTCATTATGAGACTTTTTTGCAATTTTTTTTTTTTTTTTTTTTGACAAAGTCTCACTCTGTCACCAGGCTGGAATGCAGTGGTGCAATCTTGGCTCATTGCAATCTTTGCCTCCTGGGTTCAAGCGATTCCCTGCCTCAGCCTCCCGAGTAGCTGGGACTTACAGGGGTGCACCATCACGCCCAGCTAATTTTTAATATTTTAGTAGAGATAGGATTTCACCATGTTGGCCAGGATGGTCTCGATCTCACCTCATGATCCGCCTACCTTGGCCGTCCAAAGTGTTGGGATTACAGGCGTCAGCCACCGTGCCTGGCTGTGATTTTTTTTTTTTTTTTTAGCTCA